CTGAGGATCCCCAGGCGGTATTTCCCTGCCACGGGACGGTCCGTCCCCACGCTGGGGACGGACACTTCAAGAAAAAGTACAAGGCCAAAACTTAAAACGAGTGGCTGCGAAGGCGGCGACGGACCGGGGACGGACCGGAGACGGACACTAGCCAGGGCACAATGGACGCGCACTGAAACGCGGCGCGTTGCGTCCCGCCCTTTGTGGCCTGTATGTGCAGGTGCGGCCGCAAGCCGCCACGCGACGCAGCGCAGCGCCGCGGCGTCAGCACTGGACTGTGTGAAGGGCGGGGCTGCCACGAGCTGCCCCAAAACCGCACGCCTGCCCTCGTCGGGGCAGCCCCTGCTCCTCCGCGCCGTCGTGAGGCTCTCATCGACGGCGGCAGCGGCGCGGTGCCGCTCGCCCGCGGCGGCGGCGCGCGCGCGCCAGGCGGCGACCGCGCGCTGCGCGCCGCGCCGCGCATCGAGCGCCGCGGCCGCTGCCGCGGCCGCGCGGCCGCGCCGCGCGGCCGCGGCCGCCGCGGCGAGTGCTGCGCGAGCGCCGCGGAGCGCGCGAGACCGCTGGACGCGGACCACGTGGCGCGCCGCTGTCCGCTGGAGCGCGCGGCACGCGGCCGCGGCCCAGGCCGCAAGGCCCCGGCGGCGCCGGCTCCGCGCGGCCGCGGCCGCGGCCGCGCGCCGCGACCGCGCGGCGGCCGCGCGCCGCCGCCAGGCGGCGACGCGGCTCCTGAGCGCCGCCCGTCCGCGGCCGCGGCCGCGGACGCCGCCGCGGCCGCGCGCCACGTGCGGAGCGCGCCGCGCGGAGCCGGCGCGACGTGGCGGAGGCGCCGGATCGGCCGCGACGTCCGCCGCGGCCGCGGGGCCCTCGACGTCGGCGACGCGCGCCTTCCACCAGCGGCCGAGCGCCGGCGCCGCGCCGCGGTGGAGCGCCTCCCAGCGCCGCCGCCACGCGCCAAGGCCCCGCGCGGCGAGCCGCCGGCGCCGCGACCGCGCGCGGAGCGCCGCAAGCCGACCCAGAGTAACGCACATAACTACCATGAGAA